GCAGGACAAGAAGAAGGCCAAGGAGGCGGGGCGTGAGGAGCTCAACGGGCCCAAGGGCAAGAAGCAGAAGCTCAGCAACAAGGACAAGAAGAAGCTCGACGCCAAGGCCATGCGCAGCGAGGACAAGGTGTGGAAGAAGGGCAAGGCCGAGCGGGCCGGACAGGGCGCGGTGCTCAACCTCAAGAAGCAGCCCAAGAAGAAGAACGTGCCGGCCAAGGGCAGGACCAGGGCGAGGCTGGCTCGCACGAAGCGGTGATTCTGCTATGTTTTAATTTTATTTATTTCCCCCCCGGGTGTTCAAAAGACAAAAAACAGGATATGCATGTTGGAGGGAAGCCGTATAGACCAAAATACCACGTGGAAAGACCATCCAATCTTTGGCTACTTAACTAGTAGAGGTGTTTCTGCACTGGGAAGCGAATCGTGTAGAAGCGTGCGATATCTATTGGACGTGATTTCCTAGCATCGCTGTCTCACATTCGCACAGCATGCTCTAGTAACTTAACTACACTACCAGTGCCTGGTAGTAAAGTGTCACACGATGTGGAGGATGTTGGTCTGTGAATTCGTCAGGTTGGCATTTGGGGGCCAAGCGATGTTACCTGGCCGTGACCATGGAAAGGCGATGGCGCTGCAGATCCTCGGCACAGCACGTCAGCGTTCTGCAAACAGGGCCCAGCTTCAGCGGCTGGACAATACCTGGCGAAGCTACCTAAGCTAAGCTAAGCTAAGCTAGGAGGTACCTAGGTAGGTATGTAGTGTAGGTAGTGTAGGTAGCTGGGTATGCGTGGATGACGTAACAGCGTCCCGTCTCGCGTCCAGCCAGTCAATCCGTCAGTCAATCCGTCCCCCTCCTCTCCCCTCCCCTGAACTATCTTTCCCAAGTGCATCGCATCAACAGCAGCAGCAGCAGCAGCACGTGGCCAGAGAGAAGCGAAGAGACCCGCTTCGTATTCCGCATAATCGTATCTTTTGGCACTGTTGTCGCATCCGAACAAACCAGGACAGCCACCCGCTCTCGAACAACCAATCTTGACCTGCACTGCGCGACACCGGGAGCTTCTGAGACCGACGCCTACGCCAACACGAACCTAAAGCTTGCGCTCGCCCACCGTCACGAGTTCCTCGTCTCGGTCCCTCCCCAAACGTACCCGCGTGCTCCTGCTTCGTCGACTCCGAACCGAATCGGTCCGTTGCGCCAACTTCACCCACCAGAGCCGCTCGAGATCATGTGCTTATATCACCATCGGCCGTCCTTCCGTCACCTGTAAAGTGTGGGCCGTCAGAAGACGCATCCGCCTGCCAGCCTCGTGCAGCCCTGCCGACTTCGCCTCGTCGGCCTCGGTTCCCCGATCATCGTATCCTCCCGGACTTGGGCTTCCCTTCCTACATAACGCCCGCGCTCTGGGCCGTCCCGCCTCGCCTCCGCCGTTCGTCTTGGGACCCTGTCCAAGGCACGACCAAAAGCAAGCTGGCTCCCTTCGGGCGATTTGGTCTCCCGCGCCCGCAACCTCACAACCGCACCAGCCTCCTGCGATACCTGTTCCCGCGAAGCGTACGAGATCGGTACCGCGAGCGCCTCCTCAACTTCCACCTCGACACCCTCCCCCAGCTCAAGCACCGGTTCCAGTCCAGCATATACCGATATATACTCGGGCGCCAGCGTAAGCGAAACGAGAAAACCAGGCTTGTCGACGCATTCGCCCGCCACAGCCGCCGGCTGCTCCTGGGTCCGTCCTCGGTCAAGCCGAAGCGGCATGCGAGGGAGAGAGCAGGCAACCTGAGCAAAAAGATGCCCACGTTTTCGGACTACACGACCTACGGCGGAGGACCGGGACGCGGCGCAACCGGCGCCGGTACCGCCGATGGCGCCGGTGCAGGTAACGGCTACGGAGCTGCATCGGCCGACGACCTGCCAACCCCCGGCGAGAGGGGATTTCGGCGGAAATGGCTGGCTGCAAAAGCCGGCAGTGTGTACCGCGCTGGAGCCACCGCCGTCAATGAGATAAGAGAAGGATATGCGCAGGCACGTGTGCGACCTTTGGAACCGGAAGACGGCATGCCCCGCACGACGATCCCCGGGTCGTTCCCCAACGTCGCCATCACTGTCCAAGGTGATGACCAAATGGTCATCTTCCCCTCATATGCGAAGCGACACGTCAAGCAAGACTGGACTGCGGAGCACCAGCAGCACTCGGAAGAGCAGCCCGGTAGTGTCAGGGACCAAGAGTTCTGGAGGAGAGAGTGGGAGCGTAACGAGGACGCGAAGGCTATCGTGGACATCGACGTAAGGGGCTGGGTGTATTCGCCGCACAAGGGCCCGATAACACGGCGAAATCGCATTCTCATCGGCCTCGCGCGCCAGTTGAGTGGTATCCCAGCCCCGAGACAAGACGTCCCTGCGCCCGCCGATAACCTCTCCGCCTTACACCAATCCCACGAGGAGCGGCGGGAACAGGAGAAGATCGCCAAGGAAGCCGCGGAAATCGAGAAGAGGGGCCAAGAGGAACGGCGTGTGGCGACCCAGGGTGGATTCAGTGAGGCACCGAAGGACGCATCTGACGATGACGCGGACAGCATATACCGAGCGAGATCACGATCGCGAAGCGGTGCCCACACGCCCATGACGGCCCCTGGGTCCCCGAAACTGGCACCAGCCAGGCAGAACACGACGAGCACCGATCTGACAGACGCCGAGCTCTCTGTTGCAAATGCCAACCTCATGGCAAGAATAGCACCCTTCATGACAACGCCTCTGGTCCAGCTGCCCATCACCGTCTTCTTTTACAATGATGAAAAGTCAGCCTCACGGACAGTACAGACAAACGACGCCGGCCACTTCATATTGCGTGCCGCTCTGGAGTTCGTTCCCACCCACGTCCGCATTCTGGCCAACGAGAGCCTGTCGGCGACTCAGGAGGTCAAGATCGTCGAGCCGAAGGGCGTCAGTCTGATCAGTGACATCGACGACACTATCAAGCGGTCCAACATCTCGGGTGGCGCCAAGGAAATCTTTCGCAACACCTTTGTGCGGGAACTGAAGGATCTGACGGTGGAGGGCGTCCGAGAATGGTACAATGAGCTGCACAAGATGGGTGTGAGTATGCACTACTGCTCAAACAGCCCGTGGCAGCTGTTCCCAGTGCTCGCGAGTTACTTCTTGATCGCGGGTCTGCCCCCCGGTTCGCTCCATCTGAAGCAGTACAGCGGCATGCTTCAGGGGATTTTCGAGCCGGTGGCGGAAAGAAAGAAGAGCACCCTTACCAGACTCATGCACGACTTTCCAGAACGTCGGTTTCTACTAGTAGGCGACAGTGGTGAAGCCGATTTGGAGGTTTATACCGAGCTGGTGGAAGCTCATCCAGGACGCATCATTGCCATCTTTATCCGCGATGTCACGACACCCGAGCAAACGGGCTATTTTGACAATTCCTTTGAGGGTGGCAGCTCACGTCAGAAAGCCCCTTCTCTAAAGATCACGGATCAGAGCGATACGCCATCGAGTCGACCAGGATTGCCGCCGCGGTGCGAAGCCAAGACTGTTGGACCAGTCATAGGCGACCTAATCGATTTTTCAGATGAACCCGAGGAGACCACGCTCAGCGATACAGCCGCCTTGGCCCAGGTCAAGGCAAGGCCAAAGCCGCACTCTAGCTCCACCGATCCCGTCATCGGTCGCAAACCTGCCCCGCCTCGACCGAGCAAGCCCGCGGCCCTTCGTAGCACACCATCGGATTCGAGTCTGAATACGCTTGGCATCAACGGCGGGGCCACGCCCCCTCCTGTGCCGAGGTCTCGAAAGCCATCCTCCGACCGTGCAGGCCCTCATCCGCTGTCTCAAATGCACAACTCCTCCCAGCAAACCGTGGCCAGCAGCAGGAGTCTGCCGAGCACTGCCAAGATACCTGCGGCCGCGGCCCAAAACGCCGCGAGTAAAACAGCCAAAGTCCCACCGCCGCCCCCGCCGCCTCGGCGTCGCGAAGCTCCTTCTGGCTCCCGAAGCCTCAGTCCGCGGGGCAACACCAACAGCCGCAGGCTGTCTAGCAATAGCGATATCGACTTTGATGCGCTGCCGCCCTCCGCGGCCTCCCAGACGCAGGCCACCCTTCCCACATTTACGAGGACGAGGACGGGCAGCCTGAGGTCGGGCTCTACCTCGCCAACAGGTAGTCCGAGCCTGGGGCCCGCGGCCGCGGCGCCGCCGCCGCCGCCGCCGAACAGAAAGCATGAGCTGTGGATGCGCCGGCTCCAGCGGGCGCAGGAGATCCTGGAATCGCACGGGGTGGCCTTGTATACCTGGCGACGAGGCGACGACGTTGTGGCGGAGGCCGTCGGGATTGTCAGGGAGGAGCTGAAGAAGGTCGGTTTGAATGGGGAAAGGGACGCAAAGACGGAAGGCAAGAGGTTCGAAAGGCAGATCAGGAGGGAGCAGTCGCAGCAGGATCAGCAGCGACTAAGACCGCAGCAACAGCAGCAGGGGCCGTACCAGCAGAGGCGGTAGCCGCCAGGAAGTCCTGTGACGGGCATCGGAAGACCATGTACGGAGATGGGAATGAAATGGGCGGGGGAGGGGGGCCAGTATATCAGGGGAAAGGGGGGGGACCGGAATAATAAAGCGCTGACGGTGAAGATTCAAGTAGATATATACCACCAGATCCTGCATCACTAAACACACATCACTGTCGACTCAACGCTCCTGGATTATCCGAGAGACAACATCCTTCAAAGCCAAACTGGACCGGAAAACAGAGGTCCACTTGGCCATCTCGGCGTGACGTCTATAACGGGCGCGTCTCGGCTCGCTGTAAACGGGCCCCCCCCCCTCCTCTATCCCACCGGACCCGGGAGACGGTCGCCCCCCCCCCACCACATCCAACAGGGATTGCTTATCCCCACCACAACCCCTGATGGTGGGTCATTGCTTCATAATTCGCATTTTGATGGTGCAGCGTCCAGAGAAGCGGCACGACTCGCGTCTCCCCTCTACTTCTCCTCCGTCCGGTCTATTAGTCTAGTTGGTTAGGACGTCGGATTCTGATGCTTCGGAACTTCCGTAGGCCCAGGTTCGAATCCTGGATGGACCTCGTTGCTTTTTTGCCGCGGTCCGTCCGGCGCTTTGCGTTGACGGCGGCTGGGAGAGTTGTGGAATTCTCGAATTTTTCATCTTTAATTATTATTTTATTATTTTATTTTTTGCCGCGATTGTTGTAGAAGATGCATAGGGACGCTTCATGTGCCTGGCTTTCTGTAACGCTTAGATGCCCCCGGTGTGTCTCGGGTTACTTTGTTTGTGCTTGACACACGGTCTGGTTCTTACGTTGGCGCCGTAGCCATCTTTCGGCGCATCAGTGTAGTCTTTCGTCACGTCCAGGTCTGATCTAGACTGGCGTCCCTGACCCTGTCCCCGTAACTCCCGCTGCCTCAAGCAAGTGCCTACATCGCGAGTTCCCGCCCACTTCCGGGAGTCCTCCTCTCGCACCGACACAGAGGCCCTCTCATGGCTCCTCTGCGCGCATGCCCAGAGTGTCTCCAGGGGCGCCATGTCACCGCGCTGGCGCGCCGCGTAAAAGTTGCTGACCAGCTGCTGTAGCCGCACGCGCATGTGGCCCGCCCGGGTAGGCCGCTGGCTCGTGCTCTTGCTTGTCGTCGCCGCCGCGATGGTGGTATTTTGGATCCACGGCCCATACCCACACGTCATCAACAAAGCTGCCCCCCTCTCGCCCCGTGTAAGACTGAGTGCAACCGAGTCCCGGTCTATGACCGGAAAGACGTTCCGAGGGAATGCCCTCGGGCAGTGTGTCACGGACCGTCTGGAAAGTCCCTTCGCAGCCTTCCAAAGCGATCATCAGTACCCACCCCCCTGGAGGCCACTGTATTCGATGTAACGCCCGACTTGATCGTAGTAGACTGCGCATCCCCATTCCGCCTTTGGTATACCCATACCTAGCATCACCCGCTGGCCCCACTCCTGCAGCGCCGCCTCAGACGCCTTCTCCTCCTTTCCTGCCAACTTCTCTCTTAGCCCGCGTTGCCCATCAACCGTGCTCCTCGTGTGTTCCTCTGACGTGTCTGATTCAAGTTTGGCAAGGGCGCTGGCATAGGCCCCCCCCCCCCCAGACAGCTGTCTGTATTCGGGCAAGGGTCAGAACCGGCGGCGGAGGAGGTCAATTTCAGCTGAGGATGGGGCTGCAGGTTTGTATGGCGCTGCGGAGAAGGGTGGCCTTGTCGGATTGGAGTTCGGCAAGGGAGCTGGCGATAGAGGCGGGTGAGGGGCGGTCGAGGAGGAGTAAAAGGCCAGAAGGGGATGTAGTCGTGTCGCCCGAAAGTATGGCGGACTCAAGCTGCGGGACACGGGACACGAGGCCGGAGGGTTCGTCCAGGCCGAGCTGGACCCGGTTGGAGGAAGGGAATGAGTCGGCCCGTTTGGACGACGTGGCTGATGGTGAGTGAGGATGAGGGCGAGATGAGATAGATTGGCATGTCGCGTGAAGATGTTGTTAATTGATTGGTTGGGGGGCTGCGATGCTTACTAAACCCTCGGGGTAGTTTACCTTATTTTGTCCAGGCACTTGGTTACCACGAGATAGATGAACCAATCACTCTCCCATTCGAGTGCGACCCTCTAGACTAAGGAACTGTTCCGATGATCGTTGATATCGCGCTTGATAGGCTGGCCAGATGCTTCGGATACCTGATTCCGCCACATAAGCCAACCTTTGTGCGACGTATGCGACAAGTTCACGGTGCGCTGGGCCTAGAGAGATGTTTTCTTGTTTTTCTTTAAAAGATACGCCGATACGCGCTCGTTCGTAGTCCGGAGACTGAAAGTTCAAAGTCCGAGGACACTTGGAGTAGTGTGTCCAACACTGCAAGTAGAAAATACTGCTGCTGACATCACCAGGCCGTACACCACACCCCGGAGTTTCACTCCGTCCCAGAACCCCGAATTCTGAGTACCAAGGGTACTGTCATCCCAAGAGAAGGCGATTGCTGACCGCATATGTTTGCCGTCAGTATTGTCTTGTGCATCGGCCAACAACGTAACGCTGAAAGTATTAGCCACCCTGTCTCACGTCCCTTCTTTTTCGTCTTTCTTTTTCTTGCCAATTTCAGTCTTCAACAGTGCCGGATGCCCCAATTGAAACAGCTCGCACGACTGTCCCCGAGGGTCATCTGGGATCAGTGGACGTATATGAGCATATAGACCACCGGGTCTCCATAGTTCTTGACTTGTCATCTTCGCGGGCAAAAGCGGGACTGGGGCGCTGCTTAAATTGCCATTCTTTATTCATAGAGGGGCTCTACTCTATTCGTCTTCCTCCCTCAGGTTGTCCGTCTCGAAGAAACGTCGAATGGCAGGCAGGAAAGCCTGGGCCTGGCGGAACTCGCCGAGCTTGACGCGCATCTGGTCGAACGCCAACAGGACGGCCTGGTCCTCGCCCGTCGGCGTCGTCCGCTTCTCAATCAGCGGGAGCTTGGCGTAGCGTTGCGAGAAGTGCGTCAGCAGCACGCGGCGCGCGCCCATGCGGTAGCCGACGTCGAGCGCCTCGGACATGGTGCAGTGCTTCTTGGCCAGCGCGTCGCCCATCTTGTCGTCGTCAAAGGTGCTCTCGTGGATGAGCAGCGTGGCGCCCTTGCCGGCCTCGACGAACTCATCGCTCGGCCGGCAGTCGCCCGAGTAGCCGATCTTGAGGCCCGAGGGCCAGGTGAAGACGACAGCGTATGCGTTCTGGCAGTGCGAGACCCGGACCAGCTGCAAGGACGCGAGGCGGGTGGGGCAGTCGGGCGGCAGACGGCCGTCCGCTCGAGGGAAAAAGTGATCGGCCCTGTTAAGAAACCGCAGGCGCCAGTAGGGCAACTTTTCTATACGGTTGTGCTCGACCAGGAAGCCGCGCATGCCGTTAGCGCCGGCTATCACGAGCTTGGGCTGCGGGGACAGGTGTTCGGTTGCATCGGCCCAGGCACGGATGAACCTGGCGGTTCCGAGATGGTGGTCCGCGTGCATGTGACTGATGTAGATGCACCGGGTTTCCTGGAGAATCTTGGTGACCTCGTCTTCGGGGTAGGCGCGGCGGAGCTGGCCGAGAGTGTTTTCACCGCAGTCAAGAACGTAATTGCCGTACTGCGGCACGCGGATGATGGTCGAGGAAACGTTGCGGTACTTGGAAGGCAGGGCAGATCCGGTTCCGAGCGGGACGATCTCGGTGTCGCGGTTCGGGATATCCTGCTCCACCCTTTCAACCTCCTCCAGGAACGCGGGCATGCTGATCTTGGCCGCGGCATTTTGAGATAGTCTCAGCGTTTTGCGGTCCATATTATCAACCTCCTTGAATGTAGGAAACGGCACAATCTCATCCTTCTTTTCCTCAAACCCGGACCCCAAGACGGCCTTCATGCCGGCACGCGCAGCCTCGACGTTGGGGCCAAGGTGCGAGAGGTCCCGGACCGTGTTGTCGTAGTTGAGAGGGGGGAAGCGGTCCGGGTCGAGGCGCCGCAGCTTGGCGTGGAGGAGGGCGTAGGATTCCATGGCGGTCGTGTTCGGACACGTGTCTGGGGCCATGATGACATGCTTGACATCGGGTCGCTCCTTGATGAAGGTCTGGATGCGCGGGTCGTCGATTACCGACTTGCCAAGAATCCAGTAAAAGATGGGGACGTTCTCCATCAGAGCTTGGTTCTGCCACTCGGATCTGCCGAGGAACGATTCGATGAAGGATTCGTTGGCAATTTCGAGGACGGCAAAACCGACGGGTTTGACCGGCTCCCCAAGCACCATGTCCGGGGTCACCTCTATGCCAGTCTCACCCACAACCGTCTGGCCGGCCGCAAGGTGCTTGAAGTTGGGAGGGGCGACTCCCAACTCCTTGGCAACGACCGGGTTGAACTTGCCTCGGCGGCCTCTGTTCTTAACAACGTAACATGTGGCCGAGTTGGACGGTGCGGCTGATGGAAGCGACGTGACCGTCGCTGCTGGCCAGGGATACCGCACGAGGACTTCAATGTCGGGTACCTCGCCCTCGCCGCCGGGCAAGGGACCGGTGTACTTTTTGATCTGGCCACCCTCCTTGACAAAGACGGTGGCAGGAAGCTTAACCTGGGAAAGTGTCGTCTCGTACAACCTGTCCATGGTCCAATCCGAGCCAAACATGTCTCCCACAATCGCCTCCATCGCCTCGCGCGACTTGGCCTCATCCTCTCCGTCGGGTGGATTCTCTTCAGTGGCCGCCTGATCGTCTGATGCTGAACTCGCACTAGAGGAGGTCTGCAAGGCCTTGTCTTCTGCTGTCATGACGTCGTGGCTTCTCTTACGTGGCTTTGTGAGGGTTGACGAGTTATCGGCAGTGACGGGAACTTTCCAGACCTGGATCGCGTCGTCTTCCCAGTCAGGGGTAGAGGCGTCGGGATTGGTCAATCTCGGGTCTTCGTAGAGCTCGACGGCACGTATGGGGAGCCCCTTTCTGAAGACGAAACCGCGCGCTGTCGCGATGGTGTAGTTCAGATTCCGGGGACCGTGGATCTCGATGCTGTCGGGGCCCTTAAAATCCAGCTCCTTTTTCCCCGCTTTCGTCCTTTCTTCGTTCTTGGCCATTATATCTCTCCGGCTACCATCCTGGACGTCGGCGATGGTGAGCATCATGCCAATCATACCGCCCGTGTTTTCCCACTTGACCTCGCCAGAAAGGAACAGGGTCTCGAGTTTCGCGACGGCAAACTTGCGCTGGGTCAGGACCCGCTGAGTTCCTTCGGAAAGATGGCCAAATAAGTAGCGGCGGTGGTCGAAGTGGAGCAACAGGCTGGCGCCTGTGTCGGCGGTTGGCGTCGCCGCAACTTGGATGTAGTTTGCCATGACGGTATCGAGGCGGAGGCGGCTGGGTTTCTTCTGCCTTTCCAAAGGCCGTACGAGGAGGTGGTAGCAGAGAAAGAAATTCTTCTCTTGTCCGACTCCCGAGTTAAGATCGTCCCAACCTCCTGAGACGCAGATGGCCTCCTTGCCAGGAAACGACTTCGGGTCGCCGCGGAGGATCTCGTATTTGAAAGGCTTAAATTCACGATCCGGTCTTCCGCGGTACGATTGCAGAACCTC